AAAAATTTCAGGTTTTTCGAGATGTAATAAACTATTTAGTGAAGGAAGAAAAGCAGGTTTTTTTTAACTTGTTTTCTTTTTCTTTGGAGGGGGATTTCTTGTAGAGGCAACACTAAAGGTTTGATAAACGGCTAATGACCAAACCATTCTTAGCCAATAACTGTTTGCTACTTAAACTTACATAGAGACATTAAAAAAAAAGCAAAGATTTTATAAAATTTAGACAAATTTTGGTTTAGCGTATTCAGATTATCATTTAGTAGCTTTTTTTTTTTTACACAACTAAATAAATAGGTGCTGAAAACTGGCAAGACAGAGATATTGATACCTGAACAGAATCTTGTTTTTCCACATTTTTAAACTGCTGTTACACCGATTTCTGTAAAACGATTTTTTGGAAGGATAACCGTTTATCGTCGATATACAAATTACCTTACTTTTAACGTTTTCTGCAAAAAAAGTCTCTTTTTTTTCTCCTCCTGCAACATTTAAACAGTTATCAGCTTAAAAATTGTAAACGCACATTGAATTGTGCAAACTTTTGTTTTTTGTTTTTTCTCGATTAAAATTTCAAATTTTGGTTTAAAAAAAATTTTTACTTGTTTGGTAGAAGCTAGTTTTGAATCTGAGAAAAAAACCGAGACAAATTAGTGACGAAATTTTTGAAAAAAAAAAAGAGAAAAACAGCAGTAGTGGTTGTCAACATCTTCTTTTTAATCGGGATTTTCTTTTCTTCTGTTGTTCAGGTTTTTATAATTTTGTCATTGAAAATCACTGCAACGTCAAAGCTGTGGACAGTGAAAAAGTTTCATTTCTTTACATCTTTTGTTTTCTTCTTATACCTTGAAAAAAAAAAAAAAAAGAAGAAAATAAACTTGCAGAAGAAATGTCACAAAAATTAACATTTACATTCACATAAAACAAATTTGAGCAAAGTTTCTTTCCTTTTTTTTTCTTTGGTTTTATGAAGTCGACAGATTTTTACAGTAGAAGATTTTTGTCTTTTATAGTTGAAAAATTAAATTTTAGTGTATCTGAAATTGGATTATATCAGTGTTTTTCAACGCACAGACTTCTGTGTTTCATCACAAAGAGGTTTTTGGTAATTAGTGTAACTGTAGAAAAAAAAAACAGCTGTGAACAGTTGACAAAGAAATTATACAATTTTGTAAAACTTTAAGATAAATTGCTTAAAAACCTAAACTGTGGCTCAATTAAGCAAAGAATAAAAAAGCCAATTTTTTTTTTTTTTGTTCGAGTTTTCAGCTGAACAAAGTGTGCAGTTTGACGTGAAATTTCTCTGACAGGTTTC